TAGATTACCGCTAACGCCAGGGACATAAATAAATCATGATTTTTCTCAATTTGTATCTGAATTGTGAGTATCCCAGTTTTCCGTGACGAATTGCAAATTGGCAGAGTCGGCCTTATTTATAGACTGCTCAGTGATATTTTTTTGAATGACTTATATCAAAATATTTATGCGATACGTATGATATCACCAAAATATTTCTTATCAATTCACTAGACATCAATTTTAATACTACACAATGTTCCCAAAATGTACCAACATTTTTCTTGAGTAGTTTCTCCCCTCAAGCAAGAATTAACATTCTAGAATAGGGAGCGGCCTCCGACGTAACTGAAACATGGATATAAAAGTGACCGATCTGCGTCGTTATTCATTATTGATATTCGCGGAAAACTCGGTCACATAAAACATCATCAGTGCTTTGCTTAATAGATAAGAATTCGCTTATTGCTGTACATTTATTTAGAATTAGATGGTTTGCTTGTCGAAGTGCCACGGGTTTTGGATAACGCTAAGCCGTACCTAAACTTCTTTTGATTGGTCGGCGTCGACAGTAAGCCTTCCTTACGGTGGCTTTCATGACGCGTCCCCATTCTCCAACTCCTGCTGCTAGAGAGAGACTAACTAAACATTGCGAACAGTTTGTCCTCCTCATAAATTTTCGCTTCTAGACGCTTCTGCAATTTGATATCACCAAGTAGACAACACATTTTAAAATTTTAAGCATCACATGGCCAAAATGAACAACTCTTTAGCATAATTATTTTCAAAAACGTTAACAATAAAACAGCAGGTAGTTTATTCTTCTAATTCCTTGCAGCAAAGTTTTGGGAATGGACAATTGTTCAATGATTAAGACTATGGTATTGAGCAATGCAGATTGCAGCTACATGTATAAGCTGTGGTAATATTATAAAACAAATATAGGATTTAACTAACGTAATTTAACGGGTGCTGACAATTACCGGAGACAACAGTTATTGTTCACATGATCAATATTGTCTTTGAAGTGTCCTCTCTTATCTACTATTTATAAGCAGTATAAGATCTTTGTCCACTTCTTTATCAATCATCGCCCATGTTCCTTTATTATTCATTTGTTAACCTATCTAGTGACTAACGCAGACTCAGTTGTTCAACTTTACAATCGCTCCACTTTCAATTATTTACCATCTAGCCGGGATGGTGCTGGTCAACTAGTGATATCTGTAATCTTCCGCGCCTACAAGGGTAGTGATGATCTTGAACCATTCATTTTGACGATGAGATTAGTTTCTCTCTGTATACAAATTTCATAGCTTCTTTAAGCTATACTCATTTTGGTTTTTTTTCCTTTTTATAGGTGATTGTCATCTTATTTAACGCAGAATGTAACGATTCCAATTTTCATTGAGATGTTCGTGGATTCGATTAAAAAGTTTAAGCAATCATCTTTATTATGGATATCAGTTTTTCTCTTGCAAAAAAAACAATCGCTTCGCTTGCGGTTCTGTACCATCAGGCATTAAGATGGGTTTGTTTTTATTTCTAATCTTCCCGCGCCCACAAGGGTAGTATAGATCTTGAACCTTTCATTTTGACAATGAGATTGGTTGGCTCCATTTGTGTTATTAGGTGTCTTCGCAACAACTTTTAGCAATACTCATTTGTGGTTTATTTCAGAGTCGTGGCCCTTGGCCAGACGATGTTTTCTGTATCTAAGAAAAATATAATCCACAGAGATAGAATCAGGGCAACATGTAGGCGCGGAGATATTTTGTAAATAGTGCGATTCCGCACCTGCCCAAGTATAACACCTTTTTGACAGAAACTTGGGAATAAAGAACACCGCAGTTAAGCGGAACAATTCTCCAAATTTGCAGCCCTTAAGAACTGTCAGGTTGAATTATTCAACTGCATAGTAGATAAAGTTGCATTACACGATTATTCGATTAACTTACATGGTGTCTTACGTAATGTCAAGATGTATAAACGTATTTTTTCATCGAATATTATAACTTTTTAATGTTACTATATTGCTGCCTTGCGCAAACGGTTTGAAATCTTTGTCGACAAGTATTTTAACATTTGGGGAAACTTTGGGATTAATCTTACTTCGGAATATGTATTTTAGCATGACGTGTCATTCTTTTTTTTAGTTCAGCTCGTTTTCAATTTTTAATCTTAATTTTAATTTTCAGTACGTTTTACCTAACAATATCATTTTTAGCTAGCAGAATGGTTTTCAGAGGGCATTAATGAAATGTACTATGAGCTGGTCCCAAGTCCAGACGCCATTTTATTCTTTGTAATTTTCAATAACCCTGTCTAGTCATTGACTACTGATATAATAATAACATTCCAACACATTGTGTGTATACTGTATACTGTATAGGCGACTAAAGTGCCTCCATTTCAATCTGTCGAGGGATTGTGATCCAGCTTGACAAGTTATTCATTTGCCAAGATTCACCCTCTTTTGTCCTTTATTAGATATTAGCAATAATCTTAAATTTGATCCTTCGAACAGCTGTTGAGCAATGAAACGCAAACATAATCTTAGCAAACATAATTATTAGCAATAATAGTATTAAAATTCGATGAATCGTCAACTTGCCATCTGATAATAATAATACAAATCTTTCTGGGAATTTGTTTAAGAATAAGGAATAAGGATTGTTCTATATATGTGCTATAATTCACACATAATCTTGAATCTTACGAGCACCTTCATGATATAAGAAGTAAGTTAGTGAGAGTGGTTGTCAGAATTGTTAGCATAATTCATTCATCGATTCCGTCCGTCCAACCAGATTTTGCAATTCTCATACAAATGAATACATGATTTAGGTCTCCCGAATAAAAGATGCCTTCCTTCTGACCAGTGGGCATTGAGCAGTGACTGAGTTTCCTTAGCTTTGTATGATCATGAATTATTTATTACTCATTTATGTTCTATATGCAGTTTAACTTCAGTTCAGAATTGCCTTTACTTGATATGGCGTGTTATACATCCATTTTTATGTTGCAACTTACACCTTGTTAATGTTTTACTCGAGTGTACTGTATTTAGCTGAGTTTCAGTAACCTTCTATTGAACCTCATTAATTCCACATCGATTGCTAAGTTTTGTATAATTGTGTACCATTAACCAAGTCACAACACACCTCATCATATCACTAATTCTATACAGTCAATTTAATCCTTGAAGATACAAAGATGATATTCCTGGACCCAGAGCACAGTGAGGAGACTCCAATATGGTAAGTTAATTAATATCGATATGGTTAATGGTAAGTTTTGTGAATACTTTTATACCTGCACTCATACCATGTTGCACACAGTCATCAGGAAGTTAATGATTAACTAAGAGGTAAGGTTTATTACAATTTCGAACCATGATATTTGGTCCCGACATGGAAACGAACGACGAACGCGGGAACTCATGTACTATAATAGACACTAGTGACTAGACAGGCGTGTCAATGTATTGACTCATCTGTACATTTTTGGATGAGGTGAAGCGTATCTCCAAGCTTCCAGCCTTACCTATCGGCTATCTTAGACTTCAGCAATACTCCCGCACAAAGAACCGTTACCAAGTGTTGTGGAACTTAATCCGCTACCAACGACCAATTAACCCTCCTGCGAGCAGTTTTCGACATGTCACCGGGCCAATGTCACTAATGACATGTCACTAATGTTCTGTACTTACAACAGCTGTTCTGGATGGTTATGGTGGGCTTTCTAGGAAAATACTTCGTTCAAGGTATCGTGTTTCGACCATGAACTTTCGTCTTACTTCATGCTTCATGTTTCTTAGTCCCCACCCTTCAACTCTTATTAAGTTTTCGCCCATCTCACGTACATAGTCTGATGAGTTAATTCGGGGAGCATATTCGCTTCCACCACTTGAACATGCTCTCAGAAGGATGCGGAGGAAAATAACGATTGATTTAATGCATTCAAGTGGGGTTGTAATTTGAATCATCGATTATTGTTCAAATCATTCATGACTCTTTGGTGTTTGGTTGAATGATTTTAAGAATAAATACTAATTACTAGCTAGTCAATAAACTCTAGCTAGCTTCCCAAAAATTAAGTGGTATCTACGTGTATGATGGCAATGCACAGATTGGAATTCTAGTTATGTTCATTAAAATTCCATTATCAAGACCTCATCCAAGTATTGCAACATCTAGTTTCCAGCATCAACCTTCACTAACATGTATTATGTTTCAATTGATTGTTCACAACAGCCTCAATTCCGTTATTGTTATCGTTTTATCGGATAATCACCATTGACGACTGGGCTCCATGCTGTGAAAATTAAAATTTACAAGGTATCGTTCATCGTGAGGCGGTGATTCACTGATTTCATATATTATTGTGAAGATCGCTACATCATTCAAACTCAGAAGTTTTCAAATGCTATTTTCTTAGATTTGCATCATTGATGTTTCGTTTTAATGACGTTTCCTATCAAATATTTCATAATATAAGTTATCTACCGGCCTTCCTAATCTACAAATATTTTGTTTCTTAAATGTTATCATATGATGACCATGACATCAGACTTGTTGATAATGATAAAATGTCTCAAGTCATACTATGACAAAGTGTGACAACTCTGCATAATCATGACCTCCCTTGAAGCCTGCCAGGGCCAAACCCAGCATTAGTCTGTAGATCAAGTTGCTACCAAGGCAGGTTGCGTTATTGGCACAATGCAGGACGCAGGTGGCATCTGGCATACTTATGACAAGAAAATTAACCTGCAAAACTTATTGGTGATTACACGAAATTGAATCTACGCGACAGTAAAACTACTTTTCGGGCTTGGTTGGTGGAAAGTTGCTGGTGGCGGTCATAATTCATCTAATGTGCTCTCAATTACAGATTTGGTTTATTAGCCCTTGCTGTATAACCGTGAGTCATCAGCCATGACCTAACAGGTTTCAAAATTCATTTATTTTCCGGGATCTGTTCTTATATTACCTCCACGCCTAATTTTGTTCCCCCTTATCGAACAGACGCATTCTTTTCTGTTAATGTTTCCACACTCCGGATGATTGGCTCTCAAATAATGATTCACCCCTTTCTAAAATGGTACGTTATATTTAAGTTATATCGTTACTTTTCTGGAACTGTCTGCTTCCTCTTAGAAGTATGATATAATTTCTTGGAACTGGGTCGGGAGTGATGTTCTTATCCCATTCATCCACTTTTTTCTATAGCATTCGACTTACATTTAATTGAATAACTGTGTCATCCAAAACAGACCTTGTCATCATTTGAATAGTATGAATTACTAAAGTTAAGAGTTGTGAGCCCAGTGGACTTATGTTAGGCCTTGCTTTACTGCGCAGTTCTGCTTATATAAGTCAATTATAGGCTTACTTTTATCTTTATTATTGCTGCATTTTATCAATGTCTTACCTCACAACTCTAGTTATTAAAATTATCATAAACCTGACTTATAAATCTGTTTTAATTTAGCCTAGTCCTAACTCTATTCTAACTCTGTTCTAACTCTATTCTAACTCTGTTCTAACTCTGTTCTAACTCTAATCTAACTCTGTTCTAACTCTGTTCTAACTCTGTTCTAACTCTGTTCTAACCCTGTTCTAACTCTGCTCTAACTCTGTTCTTACTCTGTTCTAACTCTGTTCTAAATCTGTTCTAAATCTGTTCTAACCCTGTTCTAACTCTATTCTAACTCTGTTCTAAATCTGTTCTAACCCTGTTCTAACTCTGTTCTAACTCTGTTCTAACTCTGTGCTAACTCTGTTCTAACCCTGTTCTAACTCTGCTCTAACTCTGTTCTAACTCTGTTCTAACTCTTTTCTAACCCTGTTCTAACTCTATTCTAACTCTGTTCTAACTCTGTTCTAACTCTGTTCTAACTCTGTTCTAACTCTGTTCTAACTCTGTTCTAACTCTGTGCTAACTCTGTTCTAACCCTGTTCTAACTCTGCTCTAACTCTGTTCTAACTCTGTTCTAACTCTTTTCTAACCCTGTTCTAACTCTATTCTAACTCTGTTCTAACTCTGTTCTAACTCTGTTCTAACTCTGTTCTAACCCTGTTCCAACTCTATTCTAACTCTGTTTTAACTCTGTTCTAACTCTGTTCTAACTCTGCTCTCTCAGGATGAGTACGACTAGTTACGCCCTCCTCGGTACCTTCTCCTTCGTCTCGATCGTTGGTAACGGGTTTGTGTTCTGGGCCATGACAGTGGATAAACGACTTCGAACCAACTCTAATCTCTTCATATTGTCTCTCGCCTTATCTGACTTTCTGATGGGCTGCATTTCGGTTAGTAAATAGACCTGATCGTAAGTTTACTTTTAGACAGTAAACCCGTAACTAAATTTGTTCGTTTCTTTTCGGTTCTAAGTCTTACCCCTGTTTTGAGTGTTTTGTATTATCGATTATTTTATTTTTACCTTATCTCATTTCAGATCCCAATATACCTGCTGTTACACATATCAGAAGAGAACGTGCTAGGAGATGTTATGTGCAGTATAACTGCATTCCTTGATAACACTCTAGTGATCGTCAGTATGTGGACTCTTCTGCTCACATCTCTTGATAGGTCCGCCCTAACTGTCACTTTGCTTTGTAAAATTGATTTTTAAACTGACTGTTCGGGTTGCTCTGCTTAGAATCCTCGTCTAGAAATCATGATTGATTTAACTGCTTTACAAAGCTACCTCCTCAGGTTTCTACTGATAGTGTACCAGAAGATTTACCACGACGTCCTTAACAGGAGGAACACCATCCTCATGATTTTAGCAGTGTGGAGTTACGCTGTTGTTATAGCAGGTCTACCTCTCGTTGGCTGGAACCGCTACGAATATACCGGGAACACCTGCTCAATTGCTGACCAGAATCATCCTTACTTCAGAACTTTCTTCTTTCTGGTTAGTAAATACTTAAGAACTTTCTTCTTCTGGTTAGTTTCAGAATCATTTTACAGCGATCCATTAAATAAATGATTAATTTATTCGCAACCTCATTATCTAACATTTCAGACATTCCCCATCCCCCTGATAATCACAGCTACCTGCTACATCTGGATAGCCGTGAAAACAAACAAAGTTCACCACAAAGCGCAGTCCCACAACAAGAAGAAATTCCAATTCTCCCAGTCCGCCAACCAACTCCGCAGGACTGGCACCACAGACAAGGTGGCCCGGGTCACTACCATGGTCCTGGTCCTGGTGCTAGCTCATGTTGTGCTCACTTTACCTGCTTTTACTATCAACCTCATCACTACATTTCAGATTGCCCACATCAACGAACACTTTGAAGGGGTTGCTAACGATGTTGTTATCCTCATGTTTTTTGCTAATGCAGCTGTGAACCCCATCCTCTACGGGGTCTTCAACACCAACTTTCAAGCGGCGTTTGAATTCTGTCCTTGTAAGAAACTCACTTCCCCTGGTATCACCCCTTCTCCTCACTCGATTAAAAACTCTTCCGTTCGCTCTCCTTCTCCCAACTCTGTTGTCATATCCCAAATAATGCCCTCTCCTTCTCCTAATGTCCAGAGGAAAGAGCTCACGGTGGAAACCAGCCTTAATACACATGAAAGATTATCAAGGAATTGTACAAAGTGTAATGATGCAGAGATCCACAGTAATAACCTTAATGTTCCTGTTGTTTAACAATTATTTGACATCTCAACCACGTAACCCACGGTGGAGCATGTTGAACATTTTGAACATGTTGATTGTTCAACATGTTGATTGTTGCCTGTGTTTTAATATCTTGGGAGTGTGATATTCCTTATTTGTGTATATTTTGTTATTTAAGTTTTGTCAGTTTTGTATAAATTGTGAATATGATTTGTTGATGGTGGAACATTTATATTAGTGATCCTTGAGTCTGCGTTTTCTTTCTTGAGAAAATTTTCAATTTTTGGTACAAATTTTGAATAGAGACTAATGTTTGCTAGACTGTTCAGTTGGACATGCATAATTAAATATAATTTAAATGTGGATTAATCGATGATTTAAAATCATAATTACTAATAATACTACTTGTGAATAGAAATACACCATTTACCAAGCAACTCCGTTACGGTAATGGCATTACCTAAGTCATGACATTGACTTAGGTCAAAATCAGAATATAGAAAAAGAACCTAGAAATAACCAAATAATAAAACTGTTTTGGATTGTACTCAGTCTATTATCAGACCTAGGAAATGCTATCTTTATCAACAGAAATTGAACCAAAATTGAACTTTAACTAAATTAAACTAAAGTTGAACTAAATTAGACTTAAGTTGAACTAAATTGAAACCTGTATTCACCACCAGAGTTCGCACATCCACCACACACTGGAAGAGCTAGTCCTGATCGTAGCGCTGGCTATTGTAGCCGTGGTGACGATATTCGCCAACCTCCTCGTCATCGCTGCCTTCTGTATCGACAAGAGACTGAGGAAAACTAACAACTATTTTGTCATATCCCTCACCATCGCAGGTTACTCTTTTTAATTGAACGCAAATTAAGTAGCAAGTCAATCCACTGACCTCTCAATTGTCAGACTAAAAGCTCATCTGATTTAGTTATTGCAGTATTCATAAGCATTTCGATTACAACTTTTCCACACAATGACAATGAAAGATTATCAATTCCCAATCAATTTTTAAGACCATATATTATTTAATTGTTCATCAGTTCATCACAGAAAACAACTACCCAGGTTTTCTAACGGGAGGGTACTCCATTCCATTGTACTGCATCACCAAGTGGACTAAAACCGAACCCCTCCCCTCCATCTGCCAGCTGTGCGGGTTCCTAGACAATGCTCTCGCTACAATCTCCGTGTGGACCCTCGCTATGACGTCACTAGATCGCTACTACATGGTCATCAACTACAAGAGGTGACATTTGTTGCCGTTTTGGCAGTGTTGAAGTATATGGTGACAGCTTTTTGCGGCGCTGCCATCAGACGATTTTTACATTTATTTACAGCCGCACATCGGTTCTATCGAATTTTTTCAAAAAAACAATGAACACCTCCCGACCGCTTGCTATTACGTAGCAATATATATCCTTGTGTTTAAATAGGGATATATCGCTAACCTGACCCCTCTTCAGGTACAAGCAAGTAGTGACGAGTGGTCGAGCTAAGTTAGTGCTGGTGTTAGTGTGGGTTTACGGAGGTTTGGTGTGTGCTCCTCCTCTACTCGGCTGGAACGAGTACCACTTCTCCAAGTAAGGGACTGTAGCTCCTCGTATTACTTGTTGTTTGTGCATTAATTGCGAATCTAAGTAATTGCCTATAAGTTGAAGTTCGATCAAGAGTTGGTCTGAGTCTGATTCAAAATAGAGCCAAATTACCTTCAATTTGAACAAAAGATGGATAATATCCGAATCTCAATTTTCAACAATAGACTTGAGTTCTTACTCCTCAAGTCTATGATAATGCTCACCGTGCTCTGACTAACACTGTTGCTCATTACAGTTCATCCACATGCGGTGTAAAGAACTTTGTAGGTAACGAGCCTGACAAAGAATACTTCCTATTCTACTTCTTCACCTCCTTCCCTTTTCCTCTTCTCATTGTCACTTTCTCCTACACTCGTATCTTCATCCAGGTTATTTTCTTTTAACTCTATTAGTATTCGGTTGATGATGGGTGGAATTTATTAAATGTTTGGTAGGTGAAATACAAAATTATCAACCAGTTATTAAACAGAAAGTTTATTGACATAATTGATTGAAATAACTATCACGTTCTTTTTATGTACTTATAGTTATAACGATGTTTGGAAATGATTTAAATAGATAAAAATAGAATAGTCTCGTGGGAAACTTACTCACAGGAAGATTGTTGTAAATATAAGCTGAACTAATAAGAATTGCGATACTGAGGCTACTATTTAAACAGTTTGTTCGTTATTATATTATATGTTATACTATTATAGGCATGGGGAGTGTACAGGAGAAGAGAACGGAGGTTGTCAGCCGCGCAGAACCGTTCTCTCCGGAACAAGAAACTCTCCTCCTCCAGCAACAACATATCTCCTCCCAAGAAGAACGGGTCTTTCCTCCTAGCTCACACCACCTGTAACGGTAATTACTAATTATTAATTACTAATTATTAATTATTAATTATTAATTATTAATTATTAATTATTAATTATTAATTATTAATTATTAATTATTAATTATTAATTATTAATTATTAATTATTAATTGTTAATTATTAATTATTAATTAATAATTATTAATTATTAATTACTAATTGTTCATTACTAATTATTAATTATTAATTATTAATTATTAATTATTAATTATTAATTATTAATTACTAATTAATAATTATTAATTATTAATTACTAATTGTTCATTACTAATTATTAATTATTAATTATTAATTACTACTTATTAATTACCAATTATTAATTACTAATTATTAATTATTAACTACTAATTGTTAATGAGATAATTATATGATAGTGTAATAAGGTTAGCGGATATATTGCAATATAATAGATTAAGTTGATATCGAAGGGTTGTGGAACCGAAGTAAAACAAAAATAAAGTAGTAATGTGCTGGCACTTCGAATTATTCTTTACAATACTTCCAGCAACTCGCGGAAACGTTTAATCCCTATCAATCCCTTGGTATTATGATCTTAATGTTCAGATCGCATATTAACTAATTTGTTGATAATTGTTCTTGATTTGTCGAATCGTCGAACCGTCGCTTTGAAAGTATTTCTTTTGTTAATTGGTACTAAAGCATCAATAAGTTGATTACACACATTCAACATGAGGCTGTGGTGGTTGGAATTCCCGGAGACAAAATGAAGTTATTTGTTCTGTTAATTGGCATATGTTTTACTCAAGTATGTTCTTTGTTTAACTTAACTTTCTTTGTTTAGCACTGCTGATAGCTTAGTGAGAGGTTGAATGTCGCGCTTTTAAAACTTACTTACTTTATTATTGTTATAATAGAAAAGACATGTTCAGAAAATCGTAACTTAATTGTTGAGGCACTACTGACTTTTTCAGTAGTTTTTCAGACTTGCTGCGCACATCCCAAACATATTTCAAATAATAGGCGATTTTATGATTATTTTCGTTCCATGAATAGATAAAACTACTCAGCTGCTTTTAAAAACCATCGCTTGTTATGCACTATATTCATTCCCAACTTTCTTGCAATAGCAGAAACTGCAGAGCCATGAATTCTCAAACCTAACGATAAATCTGAACCGGAAACTCAAATAGATCCGACAGAACCTGCTGTTCTCGGCCTAATTAAAACCTGGCGGTGGAGATCAGGGACGACTTGGTCGCCAGACCCTATCCTTCCTACCATTCCTCCTCTCGTCCTCCTCTTCAACTAGCAAGTAAACCTATTGCTAGGAAGTGGTCCTTGTCGAAATGGTCCTTACAAGAATCAAACTTGGGAGTTGCTGTAGACATCCAAGAACGTCTCAACACCAAGGACACGGGATGGAAGTATTCAGTTGGCCACTTCGTATTTGACCCTTTTTCTTATATATACTACTTTTGGTTGTCACACATCGCATTGGCGCTTATGTACAACTTTATAGCAATCCCTGCGAGGGTCTCTTTTAGTGATCTTGAAGAAGGGAGCTTCTTTTCAACCTGGATAGTTCTTGACATCTTGGCTGATGGCCTTTACGTGCTAGATTTCTTTGCTTCATTTCGAATTAGTTTTTGGCAGAGGGGAATTCAAGTGAAGGACACAACAAAACTTTCAGAGAAATATGTCAAGACCATGGCTTTCTACTTCGACTTATTCAGTATTATTCCTACGCAGATCGTATACGTCTTCTCAACAAGAAACATGGCACTGCTGGCCCGGTTTAGCAAGTTCTGTAAAGTTCACCGCCTGGTGAAGTGGCATGAACGAACCGAGTGCAGAACCAACTTTACGACCCTTTGGCGAGTGATAACACTTTTAACTATCATGCTATTGCTCATTCACTGGAACGCTTGCCTTTACTTCTACATCTCGACTAATGCCATCACACAAGATCCCCGGACCAATCGTTACCGCAGCAGCTTCTTATTTCCGATTGACACGGACATTAATGGAGCTAAGAACAAGTACGGGAGCACTGCAATGAAGTACGCTATGACACTCTACTGGTCCACTCAGACTATGACAACTATTGGTTCGGTGAACCCGCCTGAAGAATTCTGGGAGTACATTTATCTGACAGTTGTACTCCTGGTTGGGTTCCTGATTTTTGCTTCAATTGTTGGTAGCATTGGTAGTATTCTGGCCAACTTAAGAGCTAATCGAAAAGTCTTTCAAGATAAAGTTGATAGTCTCAAGGAATATATGGGGTACAGTAAAGTTGACAAGAAGTTTCAAAATAGAGTCATTCGGTTGTTTGACTTTTTATGGGCACAGAACCGCGCTTTTGAAGAGAAGGATGTATTGAAATATTTGCCAGATACGACCCAAGCTTTACTCGCTCTGGATGTACATTTAAAGATCCTACAGCAAGTGGAGCTGTTCAAAAATTGTGAGTTTGGCTTCCTTACCCAGCTGGTGAAGAAACTGAAACATCAAATGGTCTCACCCGGAGATTACATCTGTAGAAAGGGAGACATTGGCAGAGAAATGTACATAGTAAAACAAGGATTGCTTTATGTTTCCACAGATAACGGTCAGCTCTTAAGTGTACTCACAGGCGGCTCATACTTCGGAGAGATAAGTCTGATGAACGTGGGGGAAAACAACAACAGACGAACTGCCCACGTTCGGAGCGTTGGGTTTTCTGACCTGTTTTGTTTGAAAAAGGAGGATCTGTTGCACGTCCTAAATGACTACCCTGAGATGAAGGAGGTTCTCAAGAGTGCTGCAATAAAACGGCTGGCTCTGAACGATTATCCTGAAAGAAAACGCCTAACTCGGAACGGTTATCCACAGCAAAGCAAAGAGATCGAGGACCATGAAAAAAGGGTCACTTTTAAGGATACTGTTGAACAGACAGACACCTGGAATCGGAAGAAGAAGTTAGAGGATCTGGAGAAGCTTGTGCTCGTTCTTACTAAAGAGACAAAGAAAACCAACAAGAGGGTGGTGAGACTGCAGAAACAGCTGGCTAAATGCACGCTGGCCCTAACTCCCGCAGTGACTGTGACCCACGTGACATGACCCATGGGTCATGTGACCCACGACCTGATTTACAGATCATGAGTCCAACTGAGGAACCAACTGAGAAGTTGCTGAAATAATTGTATTTACTGTGAAGTTAGTTCCTGTTACTGGTAACGTTTTCCAGTAGCATTTTACATTGACAAGGCTCACCAGGACAAGAACCAGGACAAATAAATTACGTAACGATATGAGACTTAATTAATAATTAATAATTATAATTAATTAATAATTAATAATAATAATAATTTCAAGGCGATTTACACTTTTCCTCCGGATTTGTTCAACTGATGAATTCTTTTTTCCTTCTTTCAATAGAAAATTTTAACGTAGAAGCGAATTTCAGACCTATTGTGATAATTTTTTAAAAGCCTCAAAAACAATTAGGTGGGCAAATCAAGCGAACTTACTTACTATGCAAATGTTGCAAGCTAAAATATATCCAATTTTATTGGTTTTTAGCAGTTTTAATCTTAAATTACAAACTTTTATCACTATAATAAGGAGCTTATTTACGAGGCGATTAAGACTTTGCCTCCAGATTTATCAAACATTTTTGTTTGCTGTTTTCAGATGGTAAATACTTAAATCTTCATTTCATTACTTCTCATAGTCATTATTTTTATTGTCTCTCCTGATTAATCTCACTTTGAAGATGTTGAAACTACAGCTCGATTTAGTTTAGCCATCGTAAACTGCTCTATCTCAAGTCTCTAAAATAAAAGAAGAGTGCGCTATTTTACTATTTTAGTTACCACAGTGAAGAGTCTTTAAAAGTAAGAGTCTTTAAAAGACCTCTTTTTCAGGTTCCAGTGTCTCTAGTGGAAACAGTCCGACTCCTAACTCCACGGCAAATACGAACACCAAGTTCAAGTTCAGCAGGCAGAGCAGTTGTGTGGGGGGCATGACCATTGACAAAACAGTTAGTTATTTATATTACCAAGATCATCATCATGTAACCGTTATCTGATAAAAATAATTTGAACGTCGCATTTGAGATGTTATTCTTTATTAACACGGTCACTCATACGTAATCGATGACAACATTTCTTATACTGAACACTTAAATCTATTGCTTTTGTCAATGTTAAGATAGAAGTTATTAACAGACATCCTCAGGTCCGAGCTACAATGATGGTATTTGTACTGGTGCTAACCAACATAGCCTGTACATTCCCAATATTCGTTTTCTCTCTGGTAGTCTATTGGGACAACAGTCTGGGCGCTGACTTGCCAACTCTTCTTCTTACTTTCTTCATCTTCCTCTTCTTCCTTAACAGCGCACTTAACCCTATCATGTACGGAGTCTTCAATACAAACTTTAGAGGAACGTTTAACAGGTAAGAACATTTCCTGAGTTGGTTATTTAAGCAGCCGTAAAGAAACATTCCCTGTAGCAAACCAACAAACATTCCCTGTAGCAAACCAACAAACATTCCCTGAAGCAAACCAACAAACATTTTGTTTAGTTCTATTTAATTCTATTTAAGCGGATCTTGATACTTGTCACAGTTTGAGTGCTAATGTAGCAAACATCACAGGATGATACGCTGAAAATGCTACATTGATACCCCGCAGCTGTTGATAAGTCTATTACCCACTACCCCTCTAGGTTGATAAGATGTGAGTGTTACGTAGCATTCAGACAGAACACCTCGCGTTACACCCGGTTAGTGAGCCGGCTGTCCCGCTGTAACTCCAACCTCACAACCATCTCTAATAACAGGGGGGACACCAACGAGGGGGTCTTCAAAAATAATAACGGTGAGTTGACCCGTCAGATCTTATAACCTCTCCCCTGTCTCTCTGTTTATTTACCTCAGTTTGGTGAAATTGATTTGGTGATCTGATTTCGTATAAATTGAACCGACTAAAATCTACCCCTGGGTTCCTTGCTGGGTCAGTTCTACGCTGTAGACCTTTCAAATACTATCCGATGAAAATCCGAACTGATTTCTTTCTGGTAGACCAAACTATTGTAAACTCTGTTTAATTTAAAGGAGACGTTTAATTAAAGACAATATTCTGATTATGTGAGTATGGGCTCTGTTCCTGATTAGCTGATAAATCTTCCCTCTTCCATGATCTTTATATGATTTCTTATAAGCTATGATGACTTCTTGCATGAAATCCGCTCACTTTCTCTTCTAAATTCTTTTGGATGAACTGATCATTCTTAATCAATTCAAAGATCTGATTAATTCATGTTTGTCGACCATGTAACCAAGATTTGACACAATATTTGGGAAAAGCCTCAATGCGCAAATTGAGCTATACATTCTGGAAGCTTTTTGGGATCGTTCACATCTTTCACTACCTTCATTTCGTTCATTGGCTTCCTTAATATTATTAGTATGTAAACGATTAATTTCTAGTCTTGAGCTACAGTAATCGATAAGCCCATCTTGGTAATGCAGTGAGATTTGATTGTTTCATTTCTTTGCCCTAAATTTACAGAAGTGCATGCTTTGTTATTTTCCATAACCTCAATTAAGAAGTGTGCACTCTTTAGCCTTTTTTCTTCAGGGCAGAAAATTGCGCACGGCCGTAGTTTCGGCGAAGAATTTTTGTTTAATCGTGAAATTATTCACTTATTCTGCTAGCCACCCAGCATTACTCCAGTATTCAGTTAATTATACTTTCACAGTCGCAGTACAAACGCCAGTACGAGAAGTCCCGAGAAACAGCACTATTCCCCCTAACCCTGTTCACAAAGCCTCCCATCATCCGGATACACATCATCAACAGTAATACGGGGAGTCTCTCTTCTAACAGCAGTCCTCCTTCTTGTCTTACCTCCATTCACGGCTGAACAGCTCGTTTGGGTGTAGTACCTACTAACTTACTCAACAACTAACCCTGTAACTCCACTGAGCAGCTGGTTTTGTCCACCAGTACCCTACTACCATAACATCATTAGGGACGTTCAGAGAGTAGCACAAAATCAGGACCAAACAGCTTGTTGTATTGCTAAAGATCAGTTAACTGTGATAGTATGTGCTAGTGTGCACTTTACTTCTTTTACCCTCTAAGGTACAGATGGTCGGGTCCCAGAAAAGGAGCACCAAGCAAAATCGCCTAAATATCTAGTGTTCAATCATCAATGAGTACTAGTATTATTATTACAATTTACAATATTTATAGACACGGCACTCAAACGTATCTATTTTAGATAGACATCCGCGGAGCGGGATCTATCTCAAGACAGTATTTAGTGCCCCCGGGGCACGAGGTGTCTGTCTTTGTGTAAACACGAAGCGCAGCGAATGTTTACAGTTAAATAGATGGTTTGAAGGAAGTGTCTATGAAATATAGATTAGGGCGGGTTTTGAGTGCAGGGACAATGTGCGGAATCGCGATTTTTCCCATTATTTGCGACAAATTTTATGTATAGTCTTATGTATAGTCTCGCTCCAGTGAACAGTGAACAGTTTTCCTGTGACAACGGAATACAATTCAATTGTGTTTGATAATAATTAAGTGGTGTCAGACGTGGTGTAAGCCGCAATATATAGTTTCAAAATATCTATCAAATGGCGGAATATTGCCAGCAGGTCTATCAGTTTACTTAAAAACCCGAACCATTTCGCTAATTCTTACTCAAATACCTGGACGAATCTATAAAAATGTACTATTACGAGCACTTTAAGTTTAATTTTAGTTTATCAATATTTATTTTAATTCAAATTAAAATGTATTTAGTTTTATGAGAACATCATTTGTTATTATTAATATTATCCCTTTTTGTCGTATTACTATTACACTTCTGTTGTCATAAAAATTTAATATTGCCATGCATGCAGTTTCCAATTGGTTAAAAACTGCATATACATATATCAGTAATAAGAGCTGTTTTAGAACTTGCATATAGTTGTTTAGTAAGCGTTTAAAATTAAAAGAAACTCTACAGTATACACCGCCTAATTGTCATTCTTTGCACGTATCATTACATTTATGTAATTGTACATATTACTATTAGTATTAGCGCAACTGCTTAATTGTCATTTCTTGCACACTTTATTACTTACTTTACTGAACTTGAAAGACATTGAACTTGAAAGACACTGAACTTGAAAGACACCAAGTTATCATTAAGTTATTTTGATTTAAATTATTTCACGAATTTACAATCTTCATGACTAGGATGCATTCTTCATTTCACATATGACCGCTATTATATTTGCATGTATTATTATTTGGGGACCGGCTTTTGGTACACGGGCCAACAAATTTCTATATGTTCAGTAGTACGTTTCATTGTTCATGCATCATGGCTACAGATAAAACTGCGCATATACTTTATACTTCTAAGTATTACTGATAGTTTGTATGTTCAATGTTGTAGCCGTAGGTAATAACATATGAAATAATTTCACAAATTTTACAAAATTGACAGTAAACCTTCTCCTGCACTATATAGTTTATCTTTTGCATTACGGTCGGATTGATATAATGAATAATGAAATTTATTTTTGTATTTGTGACTTGCCAATTTCGGTTTACGTTGAATTTGATGATAATATCAGCAAAAATAAAAAAGTGTTTTAGTTTTACTTCGTATGAATGATATGCTAGGTATCGCGCGAAAGTTTAACGGGTACCAATACCTGTTACCTGGGGACCCCAGGCCATCATTTTCATAAACATATATATACACGAATAGAGATTCGGCGGAATATAATGACAGGCTGAGCGCCGTCCAATAAGTGATACTCTTAAAATATTTTGTTTCAAGACCGTCGACGAGTCCAATAACAAATTATCGGCGCACGTTATAAACCTACAAAGACTAAGAGAATCAAGCAATAACAACTAGACTAACAAGCTAGGTCAGCGACGCAGCCGTGAAAAAATCGATGTTTCTCATCCTTTATATTTGGCGACCCAACCATCTTACTATATATAAAGCGAGACGATATATTAATATAACTATATCAGGAACCCGTATAATATAACTCTAAATGGTGTCAAGACTCAAGAGACTAAAATAATTATTACCTATTTAATTCGCGTTTTTGACACCACTTGGGGGTCCAAATTTTGGGCTCTGAAATCACTATTCCTTGGCCAATTTTTTATTTTTTCATGCTGATTTGGAGGCCATTAAAGCATTGCAATTTGACCCAGCCAAAAAAGTTTCAGTTGTATATCTTTTACAGTTTTTTCGGAAAGTCGCGTTAAAGTTGATGCCGTGGTGTCAGTAAAATGGCACGGATATATATCGTCTGATCGTTTTATATATAGTAAGATAATGAATTGCATTGAACACAGTATAAAGCTAAAGTCTAAGAAATGTATTTTAAAATCTGCTATAAAAATGTATGCTAAGCTAAACTTTGAATACCTTATCGGACCTTATTTGGACGGACATTAAATGAACGGACATAATTATGAACGGACATTAATATATGAACGCTAGAATTAAAACTAAAAGGTATTCAAACATTAAAACCATCAAAAATCCGAATTTTTTTCATTTTTTTGACATTTTTTTATTTCAGCAAATGATTTTTAAATCCATTTTTATACAGTAATTTGACCAAAACCCATAATCATGGGTAGAGTGGAGCGCTGCCAGTGTCTTTCTTTCCCGAACAAAAGGCAATGATATCAATTTGAATGACCGTTATCAAATGCAAAATTATACCGAGAATGAAATCGGTCGCTCGCTTTTCCCACTCATTCATGGCTTACGAATTGTAATAAGTTTCGATTTATAACATGTAATCTATTTCAATTGTAAATGAATGGGAAAAGCGAGCGACCGATTTCATTCTCGGTATAATTTTGCATTTGATAACGGTCATTCAAATTGATATCATTGCCTTTTGTTCGGGAAAGAAAGACACTGGCAGCGCTCCACTCTACCCATGATTATGGGTTTTGGTCAAATATAATCTCTTTTTGATTATAATGTCAGGGTACTTTACAAAGCCGAAATGTAAACTCATAATTTCATTAATATTAATAGGGAGGTGATTTCAACAATTTCGAAATTTTTCCTTTAAAAAGGTTTTTAGGTAGGCTTTTGTTTAGGTAAGCATATCGGTCGATCGGATCACTGACTGAATATGCCACTTTATACTCATTCAAGTTGGCATTAAATTCATATATAATGACATTAAACTGTCGTGGCAAAGCAGAATTTGTTCAAAATCACGAATGAGCAAAATTTTTACCTTTCGCACGTGCAAACCTTGAGCGGACGTTGCGTCCGCATCTAATATTGAATCACCGTCAATTTTTGCGTGATGGTATTTTATATATAGTTTGATAAGTATAAAAAGTTTCAAAGTATTTCAAGAAGAACTGTTATCACAACGGCACTCCAAAGTTGACAGAAATTGGTGAAAACAGCAATTTTCAGTGATTTTAGCAATTTTCTATCAATTTGGGCGTGGCCCCACGTGTGCAACTTTTCGATTTTTAACTTTAAAACTAGCCTATGACACAATTTAGACCTTTAGGAAGCAACATTGAGCTCCACAACCCAAGGGATGGTGTAACACCAGAGAATACTAGAACGTAAAATTAGCGTTTTTATAAAATTATTCTTTAAAAAAGCACTAACTTCAATAGCGAATATCTTTATGAAGGAGCAAGCTAGAAACACTTTCCGGTAGATTTTGAGAATGCTTAAACAATTATCTAGGATGAAAATTTCCTCAAATTTTGAATAAAATTACTCCTCAATGGCGTAAAATCGATTTGAAAAATGACTACTTTGTGAAAAATCAAGTTTTAAAAATGGTTAACTTGATGACGTCATCAAGTGGTGATGATGACGTTGAATTACTTTTTAACATAATCTAAACTGAAGTCTAAACAATTATCTTCAAGACCTGTGGTTCGAAATGGCTGTATCTTTTATACTTCAGAATTTACGGACACTTAAATACAGGCTATAATTCACTGGCATATATGTATGTATATATCACGACAATCTGTCGTAAAACAGGGGTTCTAGAAAACCCATTTTCCGATGCTCCTGAAACTTGAAACTTTTTTTGCAGTCGATTTGGTCAACGTCTAGACGCCCTAAAAAATTTCAGATCTCTAACTCAATTTTAACATGGTTTTTAAGGCACCTGAATATGGCGATTTTGGGTTTTTTACCGAATTTCGTATAACAGTGCTGGCGAGTATTTTATGCAAATTTCTTAAAAATCTTGGCATAACTATTTTTTATTCCTGTCATCTTTGACATCAAATTAGAATGTTTTCAACTAAAAATATATCTGCTGAGCGACTTCCGATGAGTCTTAATGCCTGAAAAACTCCTGTCGGAGGCGGCGGCCTTCGGCCGCCGCCTCCGGCCGGAGTGCACGCTTCGCGTGCACGAAAGAGGCTTCCGACGTGTACCAAAGGGGGTGTAAAGGGGGTATAATAGTAAAGGGGGTACAATAGTAAAGGGGGTACATAGTATAACCCCAATAAAGACACCGCTCGTGCTTGCCAGCACTGTGATTGATTCACGATGTCAATCCTTCGCAGCTCGGTGAGGCACAGTGGTGCATCTCGCCGATCTACCGAAGAAGCATTATTTGATGCGCGCGCGACCCAGTAGTGCATCGCGCTACAAATACAGTAAGTATGAAAAACAATCGTTAAGGCTAAGCAGTAAAAATGTTAAAATATATGTACATGATCAGTGTCTAATATAGCACATATCATCTTTTATTCATATCAAATGGGTTATCGTGCATGAAATAGTCGGCTTTTACTAATTCGCTCGCCCAAAAATTTCACGTTATTTTGGTTTTTATGGTTTTGCAGCAGTACAAAACGGTTTTACATAAACCCTAATACCAACCCTAACCCTAACCATAACACCGAAGCTATAATTATAACCCGTACCACAACCCTAACCCTAACCCGAGCCCTAAACAATCGAATTCATGTTTTACTAGCCTGTCACGTGACCAGAACGGTTTTTTGCTCATAACTCTCCAGGGAAGCATTTTTACCCTACGTCACGTCATGGGCAATGGGGGGTGATTCGGAATCAGCGTCCAAAAATACACCGATTTACATCAACTTCATACCTAAAGGGTTTACATAGCCATGTGTATACGCGTACTGCGTGACTGGTGACGCGCTTGTTTCACAACGCTACTGCAAGCGAAAGGGCTCTGGTTTAATTAAAGCAACCTAAAGGGCCTTTTCACAATAATTTTCTTAAAATTTGGGCGAGCGATTTAGTAGGAGCGGAAATAGCCCAGGCTTAAAGCATCAGTGATTTCTAGCTTTATGGAAACTTTTTTATCAAACTACCCTGGTATGGTCGCGGTCCTGCATTTCAGTGTTAACTTTTATAAGCCAATCGGCGTGACGTGGTTTTATCTTACTCTTACACAACTTCAGCTGTACATATGTTAACCTTAACATCACGTGGAGCTTTCCTAGGCCTAGCACTGTTTCATTACCTCCCCTGAGTAATATGAACTATAACAACATCGGACGATGTCCTTGGCAACACGATTTACCGTAATATCTAGCGTCTGGAATAAGTTTGTCATGTTGGCAGGGACTACCTTGTGAACTATGTTGTTGAGTGCCATAATTTCGTTGACTTTTTCCACCAAGTGACCGTGACCGGACCATGACCCTTTACTTGAAAACATCATATACTAGTAAAGTTTTCTGTGCCTCCGGCAGACCAATAGGGGAACCTTTGCGTCGTTAACTTACGGCACAATAAATTTCTTTGCTCTAACCAGAGCCCTCTGATCTCGCTTGCAGTAGCGCGCGACCGCCGAAGGCGGCAAAGTAGTATATTCTACTTGTCACTTGTGAAACAAGCGCGTCACGCAGTACGCGTATATACATGGCTATGTGAATTAAGTTCTCATACTCATAGTTGTCATACTCATATTTTGGACAAAGTTCGAAGTGGAAAATTTTTGAAAAAATTCAACGGACTTTAACTTGTATTGGACGGACCTTATAAAATGAACGGACTTTATTTGAACAGACATTAAAATGAACGTTAGGGCCTCCAGCGTTCAATAACTGTCCCTCCAAATAAGGTCCGATGAGTTATGTCTTACGGTGTACTTACTGGTAGGACAAACTCAAAATTTTGATTGCATCAAAGATTTTTAGGCCGGATATAACAAGTTCTTGTAGCGCGCTGCGTTACTGGGCAACACTTGCTCTAACCAGAGCCCTCTCGCTTGCAGTAGCGCGCGACCGCCGTAGGCCATAGGCGGCAAAGGATAAATATTCAACTTGTGAAACAAGCGCGTCACGCAGTACGCGTATACACATGGCTATCTGAAGGGCAACACTGCGAATCCAATAATTGAAAATGCTTCTCGCTTCTTCGTTAGATCGGCGAGATGCGCTACTGGGCCTCGCCGAGCTGCGAAAAATTGACATCGTCATTCGTCAAATAAAATGTTTATTGTTAATGGACAAGCTCGGCGCGCGCTATTTCGTATCACTTGCCTCGAGCTAAAATTTCGAGAGGAAAGCGGCGCGCGCTACTTCCAACTTCGAAGAAATTTAGACGAGTAACATTGAAC